AGGGGGTGAGGGAGGAGGCGCCCTGGGGGAGAGGGGCGGGGCCCTGGGAGGGTGGGGGGAGGGGCCCTAGGGGGTGAGGGAGGAGGCGCCCTGGGGGAGAGGGGCGGGGCCCTGGGAGGGTGGGGGGAGGGGCCCTAGGGGGTGAGGGAGGAGGCGCCCTGGGGGAGAGGGGCGGGGCCCGAGCGGCGAGGGGGCGGGGCCCCGGGGGGAGGCGCCAGCCGGGCCGGCCCTACCTTGTGGGTGAGGGAGTGCTGCTTGAGGTGGTGGATCTGGCTGAACTCCATGCCGCACTCCGTGCACACGAAGGGCCGCACGTTCTGGTGCTTGAGCATGTGGTTCTGCAGCTGGCTGCGGTAGTGGAAGGACTTGTCGCACTCGAGGCACTGGTAGAGGGTGGGGCCCTGGTGGGAGGCCAGGTGGCGCTTGAGCTGGGTCAGGGTGGAGAAGTCCAGGCCGCACTCGACGCAGACGTGGCAGCGGCCGCTCTCGTGCTTCACTTCGTGGGCCTTGAGCTCGCTGGGGTAGGCGAAGCCGCGGCCGCAGAAGTGGCAGCTGTACGGCTTGACCTCGGAGTGCAGCAGCATGTGGCGCTTGAGGTGGCTGGTCTGCGTGAAGGCCTTCTGGCACACCTGGCACTTGTGGGGCCGGGTGCCCTGGTGCGTCAGCAGGTGCGTCTGCAGGTGGCTGGGCTGCTTGAAGAGCTTGCTGCAGTGCGGGCACGAGTGCGGCTTGATGCCGTTGTGACCCAGGATGTGCGTCACCAGGTTGTACTTGGACGTGTAGGACTTCTCGCACATGCGGCACTGCCAGCGCTTCTGGCGGTCACCCGCCTCCACCAGGTAGGAGTCGTCGATCTGCACGTTGATGTCCAGCCGGTCCAGCTGGGCCTTCTTGTGGCGCTCCACCGTCGAGCCCGCCGAGTCGGCCTCGAACTCGCCCGCCTCCTGCCACACGAAGCCCTGCTCCGGCTTCACGGGCTCCGGCGATTCCATGGTGGGGGCCTCGGGGTCGCTCAGGGGGGCCAGGTGGGGCGGCTCGAAGCCACACTCCACGGGCAGGGCCTCCGGCCCCGGCAGCGCCATGCCGGCTTCGGAGAAGCCGTCCCGGGCCGGGTCTGGGAAGTGGGGGTCGTAGGGGGCCGCGTCCAGCTCCGGCCTCGGGGCTCGGGGCAGGTGCCGCAGCGTCCGGGGCTTGCGGCTGAAGGCGCTGAGGTCGATCATCTTGACGGCGCTGCTCTGCACCAGGGGCTCGCAGCCGCCACTGGCCGCCTCGGCAGGGGCCTCCCCTGGGCCTGCATCCTTGTCGTCACCAGGCACAGACACCTCGTAGACCTCCTGCTCCTCCTCCTCCTCCACCTTCTCGAACTTGACCTTGGGCACCAGCCGCACAGGCGGCCGCGTCTTCCGCCGGGTGTGCTTCTCGAAGGCCGCCTCCACCTCCAGCACCTCCTCTTCCGCCGGCTCCTCCAGGGCCCGCCCGTTGCAGGCCAGCTGGTAGATGTCGGGGCCCGGGGGCCCGGGCTCCCCAATGGCCGTCCCGGACAGCTCAGGCCCCAGGTCCGGGTAGAAGGCTTCGGCGCTTATGGTGGCTCCAAAGAGCTCATTTTCCGAGACCAGGCCCAGCACGGCGGCCTGAGCCAAGGACAGCACCACCACGGCATCCGTCTGTGTCCCTGAGTCCATGAAGCCCTCCATCCCGTGGCGGCTGGCTAGGAGGGCATCGCTGCGGGAAGAGAAGGGAACGTTAATGCCGCACACACAACACGCAGACACGCATTCGGCGAGCGCTTGGCCGATCCGGGGTGTGTCTGTCCCTGACGTCTTCCTCCTCCTGCCCTGGGAACAGGACACACTTGTAATTACCGGGAGCAATGAGACCCTCCGCATATCTGACCATCTTCTCCATCTCCCTGTGGGATCCTGGGTAAGCCCTGCCCCCTTGTTGGCCTCGGTCTTCCCACCCGCCACAGGAGGGTCGAATTGCCTCGGCGGTTCTTAAAGTAGGTTCCCCAGAATGTCTTTCCAAGAGCAGCTCAAAAATCGGATTCAAAATCGCAGAAAGTAAAGTTCTATTTTAAAGTTTATTTATCTTGGGAGAGAGCAAGAGAAGGGGAGGGGCAGAGAGAAGAGAGAGAGAATCCCAAGCAGGCGAGGGCCTGGATCCCACCTACGGTGAGATCATGACCTGAGGGCTATCAAGATTCTGACGCTTAACTGAGCCACCCAGGGGCCCCCCTCTATTTTAAAAATCAATTTTGGAAAACCCATCTCCCTACATGGAATATACACCTCATTCCAACACATTCTGTGGCTCCGCTGGCTTTGTTGCCAAGGCAATTAATTTCGCACAGACCCTCAGACTGTACGGTGAGGTGTTAAACAGCTGTCACCATTTGTAATGGCTTGACCATACGAGTGAGGTGCTTTGGTTAAAAAGAAAGAAAGAAAGAAAAAATAAATAAGGAGCCGAGGTCGATCTTTCAAGCCTGATGCTCTGAGACTGTGTCTGTCACAACAGGTTACTGTTCTGGATTAGCTAAGTATAATACATTCAGATATCCAAATGTATGCCGATTAAAAATACAGCTCTTGGGGTGCCTGGGTGGCTCGGCCGGTTAAGCGTTGGACTTGGGGTCAGGTCATGATCTCGCGGCTCAGGGGTTTGAGCCCCAAATGGGGTTCTGTGCTGACAGCCCAGAGCCTGGAGCCAGTTTCAGATGCTGTGTCTCCCTCCCTCTCTGCTCCTCCCCCCACTCGCCCTCTGTCTCCAAAATAAATAGACATTAAAAAAAAATTTTTTTTTTAAATACAGCTTTTATCTGATTTGTACAACTGGAACCTCATGTGAGATCTGATTTGAAGGAAGGGCCTCGTGATGGCTAACATGTTTGAGAGAAGGTCTGAGGAGCCAGCTCCCAGGTTCCCAGGCATGCTCTCTGACCTACCAGGTTCTTTCACAGAAGCCAAGGCACCCACCTGCCCGGTCCAGACCCCGGGTGCACTGGCCTTCCTAGGGGCGGAGTAGCCGGCCTTGCACAGGGTTCTCGCGCACCCGCACCCGTGCTGAGCACCCAGCCCCTCCCGCCGGCCTCCCAGGCTTTCCTCAAATTCCACCTGTTCCTGGGACTTCCCGGTCCTCCCCGCCCACCCTGGCGCCCTCTCCGGGCCTCCCCGGGACCAGGATGTGTGCCCCGGATGTGGGAGGGCACGGTTAGAACGCCCACCCCGCTCAGCGCCTGCTCCAGGCGAAGGGGAAAGACATTCCTGGGGTGGCTCCCGCCTGCCTTGCCTGGTCTGGTCTCAGGGTCACGGTCAGGCGCATGGCGCGGGCTGCGGCCTTTCCTCAGGAAGCCGGCTCCGAGCCTGGTGTCTCCCTCCCCCCACAGGCCGGTGCAGCTTCCCCTTCCTGAAGCGGGCTAAAAATAAAATACCCCAGACAGGAATTTAGCTTCCTTGAAACAGACACTACAGATTAAACTATTAATCTTCAAGGAAGGCTCTCGTGGAAGGGGTCAGATGAACAGAACCTGACACGGGGTTCAGGGTCCACCTGGAACACCTGGAACAGGCTGGAGGGGCTACACCTGATTCAGCCCACCCCCACTTCCCCTGCTGGAAAGAGCACAGAAATGGAGGTCAGGCAGCTCGGCCCCAAGTCCTAGCTCTGTCACTTACAAGTGACAAGAGTCACTCTGAGGAGAGTCACTTCAAAGTCACCTCTGCACCTCAGTTTCCCCATCTAAAAAATGGGAATGGAAACACCTACCCCTGCAAGGAAGGATTGCAAGGGCCCAGGTCATAACTCGGTGAAGGGGGATTAGTTAATTATAAAGCCCTCACCAAATGTAAACAATTAACTTCGTTATTTGCCCAGACCTCTGGAAGAAGATTTTCCTGCTGGTAAGGCCACAGAGCCTAGAGATTTCTCCATTCCAGGGCCCCAAATTCTGCCAAGGTTGGGGTGTTTCTGGGACAAGAACTCATTCATTCTAGGAACTAAGAACTCATTCATTTTCTAGCGCGACAAAAACTTTGCTAAATCCCTGCTATGGGTTGGGCCTTGTGCTCAGACATTCGAGGGAGGCGAGGCAGGGTCCTGCCCTCAAGGAGTCCTCAGAGGAGACCACTGTGCCCCCTAGGGCCACCCGGTGGGGCAGTATCCTTGCCTTTGCTCTCAGTGGCCAGTGTGACACAGCTCAAGTGACAGCCTTCACGCCCCGTTGTGGGTTTGAGTGAACCACAAACGCAGCACTTTTTCTAGACTGCCCTGAAGTCAGGGCCAGCAGAGGGAGGAACCCATCCCCAACAACGGAGCCTATGCTAGGTTTGGAGTTCAAATTCGCATTTTGCCCTTTTCTCGCTGGGGCAGATCCCACAGTGTCCCGAGCCTCAGATTCATTTCTGTGGAGGGGACGCAGTGCCTGGCCGTGGGGTGGTAAGGACAGGTAAGGACGTCAGTGCAAATGTTCGTTCCCTCCGGGCGCCCGGGCGGCTCAGTCGCTTGAGTGTCTGACTCTTGATTTCGGCTCAGGTCGCGAACCCAGAGTCATGGGCTCGAGCCCTGTGTTGGGCTCCGTGCTGATGGCATTAGAGCCTGCTCGGGATTCTCCCTCCTGCTCTCTCGGCCCCTCCCCTGCCTGCACTTGCTCACATTCTCTCTCTCAGAATAAATAAACTTAAAAAATAATTTAAAAAAAATGTTAGTTTTCTCTTTGTCTTCCTCTCCTCAACCCCAAAGCTGGCACCCTCCCTTCCTGGCAACCTCAAGGGACCTGGGGAGCGGGAGCAAAGAAATCCTCACTCTGGTGGCAGAGGAGCCGTGGGGAGCCGGAGCTCAGGTCTGGTGTGGTTGCCCCCCCCCCCCCCAGGGGCAGGTCACCGTACAGGTGACCATCCTGTTAGGAGTGACCTTTAAGACTGAAAGGGGCCACTCCTAAGGATCACCCCAGCCCCCGACCAGGCAGGCGTCCTCTTCCTGGGGGAGCAGGCAGGCGGTTTTGACTTTGGGGCTGGACTCCAGGTTTCTGTGACAGGAGCCCATGCCTGGGTGTAAAAGGGACCTGCTCAGGGGTCTGTGCCCACGCGGGGCGGGACGCAGAAGGGCCAACGAGCCACAAATGTGGGCAAAAGGGCTACAGGTCTGGCTTTGCTGAGCGCTCAGAAGGTCCCAGGTGAGTCATTTAATCTGAAAAACCACCCTATGGGGAGTGGGGGTGGGGGTCGCGTGCACTCCGTTTCACAGCCCAGGAACCCTGTGCCTAAGTCACATGCTTAGCATCCTGTCGGGGCACAGCTGGGTCTGCGGGCAGGCCTGTGGGCCTTCCAGCCCGGCCCCATCCGGGCCCGGCGCGCCCAGCTCAGTTCCTTTGCCTGTGCACCCTGGCAGGTGGCGTCAGGGGTGTGGGCCCGGCCGCAGCTCCCAGGTGCTGCCCGGGGGTCCTCAGGTCCCTGGGAGACAGCAGGTGCTCCTGGGCCCTGGGCAAACTGCGACTGGGAAGCCTCGGGGCTATTCCTGTCTGGCTGCTCCGGGGTCCCCTCTAGGGCGGCCAGGGGCCCCTACGGGTCTGCACCCCGACCGCACTTCCTCCTGGAGTCCGCACGAGCCCCGTGCCCGCCTGGCCAGGCCAAACCCTGCCTTCCGCGTATACGGGACACTTGCCTGAGCAGAACACATACCACCCTGCGCATGCGCGTGCGGGTTGCGCAGGGGCCCCGGGTGTGGAGACAGAGGCCCCGAGAAAGGAGACAGACGGAATCTGATCCCCCTGCATTTCACGTGCGTGTTCCGTCCGCCACACAGAGAAACGGGTCGTTGGGCAGGCGGGGGCTCTGCAACCCAGTGTCACTACTTCTCCTCCTCCTGGGCCACCTTTTAGGTCTCCCCTCCGCACACACTGGCTCCGGCCCTTGTGTTTAGGCCCCAGCGTGAGGCTACCCAGGGCGGGAGCAGAGCCTGCCAGGTACGCACCACCTGGGAGCCAGGCACCTCCCCCAACCCAGGCCCCTTGTGTCATCTGCCTGGAGCCCCCTGGTGGCGCTCCCCTCTCAGGGCAAGGCCTTTGCCCCACCGCTTGTGCCGGGGCTCAGAACAAAAGCTCACCAGTGTCCAAGAGAGAGGGGAACTGGGCCCTTCGCGGGCTCTCCACAGCCTGCTAGGAGGAGAGGGGCATCCATCCGGGCAGGATGGAGTTCAACCTCCTGCCAGGGTACCCTTGGTTCCCCAGGGTGCAGAGAAAGGACGCGGCTCCGGCAGGGAAACAAGGGGAGGGAATAGCTGAAACCCTGGAGCTGGGAGTGGGGGGAAGGGAGGCCACAGCAGAAGTGGGGAGGCCGAGGTGAGAGGGGAGCAGTCCTATTTCCCAGGGCGCCAGCCCCCTTGGGAGGGTCCCAAGCCACACCCCTGAGGCCCAGCAGGAGGCCTTCCCCAGCCAGACAGGGACCAGCCCCCCCCCCCCCCCGCAGCGCTGTCCCTTCACCTTCTGCGTACTACAACGGTCCCTATAAACACGGACACTCTTGTCAAATGCATTAATGAGGGACTTGCTGTGTGACCCCGGACAAGTCACCTGACCACACAGGGTCTCGGTTTCCTCATCTGTCAAAAGGGCACAAGTGGCTTGTTGGAACCTTGAGCACGGGTTAATCCTTGGCCTACCTGCCCGTCACCCAGCATCACCGCTGCATTTCTTCTCCCCACACTGCTCTGAAAGCACCTTTCCTGTCAGGGAGTCCCCCGCCCTGTGCACATTCCCCTCTGAGAGCAGGAGAGGGCTGGGGCACTTGGGGTGGCCAGGGTCCCCAAAACACAGACTGTGGGGCAGAGTTCGGGTGGAAGATGTGGGAGGCCGGGGCTGCTGGGATAGAAGCCTCTGTGAAGGAAGTGACCACCGGCTTATTCTCGGACTAAATTCTACCACCGGGACATCGCCTCAAAATCCAACTGCCGACCTAGGAATACCCTGGGCCTTCTGCCATCCCAGCCTTGGGATGTCCCCACGCACCCACGATCAGTTCACTTTGATGACCGACCGCCCGTGGAGGGTCTAGTAGGTGTCAGGACCTGTGCCCTGACCCGGGCTCCACAGAGCTCCGGGCTTCTGCTGGGAGGGCGAGTTTACCCCCTGACCCCTTCATGTTGGCCTTGAATCACCAGGTGGCCCAGAGGCAAAGTCTCCAGTCCTGCCATGGAACCACTGACCCAGCTACAGCTACTGGGGACCCGCAAGGTGCTGGGTACCAGTCTCGGTTGTAGGGATACTGTTGACAGCAAAATGAAGTTCCCGCCCGCAAGGAGCTGCCCTGGGCGGGCTCTCTGGGTTGGGGGGTGCAGCCCTGGGGGTGGGGCCCTGGGGAGCCAGTTCGGGGGCCAGTAGAGAACAGAGGATGGTCTCACTCCTCCATCGGGCATTCCCACCCCATGGCGTCCGGCTCCTCTTTCTGCCCCCGTCACCAGCTGTACTGCTGGGGCTCTCTGTGCGTCTGGGCCCCTGGGTCCAGAGAGGCTGAGCCTGGCGACAGGTGGCTTCTCCAGGGAGGAGAGAGGGCGGTCCCAGGTGTAAGCACTCATGGACTTCAACTTGTGGCAAAACCGCCCTCCATTTCCCCGGCCGTCTCCCTCACTGAAGACTTAAAGGTAAATCCGCTCACGTCCCCAGAAAGGAAGAGGAAGCAGAAGCCAGAGCTGGAGTCTTGTGCAAACCTCGGGGCTCCTTGCCACAGTCTCACTTCTGCCAGCCCCGGGCCTCACTGGACTCAGCAGCGGGAGGCCCGCAAGGAGGGAGCAGACGGGGGTGGGGGTGGGGTGCGGCGGCCAAGGGGGAAGTGTGTGAGTCTCCCTTTGTCTCAGCTTCCCCTTTTCTCCATGGACAGATTTGCTGAGCCCGCCTCCAGGAGTCAGAGTGGCTGGGCCACCAACACAGTGCCACCGACCCACAAACCACACGTACACCGTGCCCGACCACTTCTTTTTACAGATGAGGAAAGGGAGGCCCGGGGAAGGGACTGGTCCAAGGCCACACAGTGAGAGGGCAAGGCAAAGACGGGTTGTGGCCCCAAGCCCACCCTCAGCCATGTGGTCTCTAGGATAAAGTCCTCATGCCTTAGCTGAGTGCTCGGTGCTGTCCCCAGCCAGGCTCTGCCTGACCCTCCACTAAATCTTCCCGTACCTCTGCAGTGTGCGTATGCACAAACACCTGTTTCCTACCTCAGGGCTTCTGCACAGGCTGACCCCTCTGCCAGGCCTGCCCTTCCCCTGCAATGAGTGAAAACCCCCTTATCCTTTAAGGTTCATTGCAGGCACCGCCTCCGGGGAAGCATTCCTCAGCCTGTGGGGCAGGGCGAGGGCCTCTTCCACAGCCTGAGACCCTCAGGTTAATTTTACTGTACATTTGGCCAGGCCGCGGTGCCCTGCTGTTTGGTCAAACACCCATCTGGACGTTGCAGGGAACTATCCTGTGGGTATGATTAACATCGTACAACCCGTTTACTTTAAGCAAAGCGGACTGCCCTCCCTAATGGGGGCAGGTCTCATCCGGTCAGCTGAAGCCTTACGAGAACATCGGAGGTTTCCCAGAGAAGAAGGAATTTTGCCTCAAGACGGAATCCTGGAACTCCTGCCCAAGTTTCCAGCTTGCCAGTCTGCCCTGCAGATTTCGGACTTGCCAGCCCCCACAATTGGGTGAGCCAATTCCTTAAAATAAATCCCTCTCTCTCTCTCTTTGTGCATGTGTGTGTGTGTGTGTGTGTGTGTGTGTGTGTGTGTGTATATATATATATATATATATATATATATCCTACTGGTTCTGTTTCTCTGGAAAAGTCTATACGATCACGCTGATTCATAACTGTATGTTTATGATCATCTCCCCTACCAGACAGCCCACCCAGAGGACAGTGACGGTGGGGGAACACGGTGGGCCCAGTGGGGGAGAGTGCTGACAGAAAGACACCGGGGGAGGCAGGCCGGGAGGAAAGAGCCCACAGTCACTGAGGGCTCTGGAATGAACGAATGAAGGAATGAGTGGGACCTGGGGGAAATCTTGCCAGGGTTCCCCAGATGCTTTGCTCTTCTCTGCCCCTTTACCTGCCTCAACCTCAGGACAATCCTGCCTCTTCCGGGGGGGGGGGGGCCCCCAGGCTGCACAGAGGAGGCCTTGCTCAGAGTCCCCAGGGGTTCAGGCCCAGCAGCTCTGAGTTATTCTTACCTGGGACACCCTCGCAGGCAGGACAGTTCCTCCCGCAGACCTGTGGCAGCAAGGCCTGGTCTGAAAGCCCTTCCCTGTTTGGCCTCCCACGCCTGGGGGCACCCAGACGCACTCACCTTGGGAGCCACACCTCTGCTTTACAAGCTGAGGGCTGAGGAGGGCCTGGCTGCCCTAGAGTGGCCACTGTGTGAGGCCCCCTCCTCCAGGGAGGCCACGGGGACCCCTAAATTCAAGAAGACAAGGGATGGAGCCCCTGTGGCAAGAGGGACAACCTTGGGCCCACTGTATCTGTGTGACCTCTCTGCCTCAAACTCTCCCAAGGGCAAACATCCTGCTTTCGCAGGGTCCAAAGGCATCGTTTGATTAAGAGTGCCGGTGCCCGGGCCTTGGGTATCTGGGAATGGGGCCCGGGGAGTTATTTTTTTTTTTAAGTTTGTTTGTTTGTTTATTTATTTATGTATTTATTATTGTTACTTTTTTTTTAGAGAGAGAGAGATACAGTGTGAGCTGGGGAGGGGCAGAGAGAGAGGGAGACACAGAATCAGAAGCAGGCTCCAGGTTCCAAGCTGTCAGCACAGAGCCCGACGCGGGGCTCGAACCCACGAACCGCGAGATCACGACCTGGGCCGAAGCCGGATGCTTAACCGACTGAGCCATCCAGGCGCCCCTATTTATTTATTTTTAATAATTGCTACACCCAACGTGGGGCTCGAACTCATGACCCAGAGATGTCGCGGGCTCTTCTGACTGAGCCAGCCAGGCGCCCACCCTACCTTACTTATATGTAGAATTTAAGAAACACAACAAAGGGGGCAAAGGAAAAACAAAAAGAGAGAGAGACAGAAACCAAGAAACAGACTTCACGCTAGAGAACACACTGCGGGCCACCAGAGGGGAGGGGGATGGGAGGGATGGGGAAACAGGGGATGGGGACTAAGGGGGGCACTTGTGATGGGCACGGGTGATGTATGGAGGTGTTGAATCACTGTATCGTGTACCTGAAACTAACGTAACACTGTATGTTCACTGTACTGGAATTAAAACAAAGAGTACTCTATCTTCCTGAAGCTGTGACAAACCATCCCACGTGGGCTCCTTCCTCCCCCTCCCCTGTGGGCAGCTGCCTCACTCCCAGCCTGGGCCACCCCACACAGGCAGTTCACACAGGAGCTGGACCCACACCTTGGCCTGCTCCTCCCATGCCCCAGATGGACTTAGGCGAAACGGGTTCCTCTTCTGGAAACAGGGCCAGGCACCAAGCCTCACAGCCTCACCCACAGGAGCAGACGTACAAGGAACTCACGAAGACATGCCATTAGATGGAGTCAGGCCAGGACACGAGGGGGCAGAGATCCTGAGCAAGACTGGGGTACGGTGAGTGGGGGCTGGGGAGGAGAAGGAGGCTCCCCTCCAGAGGAGCGAGGCCCTGGTCAGAGATGGACTGAGGCACCTTCGGGAGGGCCCGGGGAGCCCTGGTCGCTGGATGGGGCCAGCCCCTGCTTCTAGCCTGGGGAATCCCTGCCGACAGTCAACCCCCTTTGTCCTGAGGGAAGGCAGGTGGGTCTCTGATCCTTATAGAAATGAGCCTAAATACTAACCGGGCATCCGATGCACAAATTATGGGGGCAAATGCCAGGCCGCCTGCAGAGCTGTCCACAGGACACAGGGAAGCTTCCCCTTGATGCCAGTATGGGAATGATATGGTGTCTTTGATCTGAAGTCACCAGGCCCCCAGAAGCCGTGGGCCTTGCGTCCTCCTGGCTGACACCCCACCGGCTCCCTGGCCAGATGCGTCTGTTTCTTTACCACAAAGCAGGAAAAGATGGATTCTCCCACAGCAGAACAGTGGTTCTGCTGATGGCGCTTGGCCTCGGCCACTTGGGCTGTGTACCCTCAATGCTGGCTTTGGAATCTTCATTGGCAAGGCTGGAAGGAACTTTGTGGACCCTCTTGTCCAATGCCATCGTTTAGAGATGTGGGAACTGGGGCCCCAAGCCCCCAACCCACAACGGCCCTGATTCAGGAATCAGGAATACGTTTCTGTCCCAACACATCAAACACGGTGGCCACTCGTGCTCGGGCTCCCCCGCCAGGGCGTCTGCCTTCCATTGTCTGGTGGCGGTGAGGGTGGGCACGGTGGGACTGGGCAGCAAGGGATTCCTACCATTCAACCAGCCTGCAGGAAGTGTCCTGAGCTCTCAAGAGTTCGGCCTCACAGCTGCCTCTTGACCTTCAACGCTAAAACAATCCTGGCTTCTCACCTTGCCGAGAACCCCAGGCATTTCCACTGCTCCCACAATCAAGAGCAAACACCTCACCCAAGGGCTTAGAAGAACTGGCGTGATTGGTCTCTGCCCCCGTGGCAACTTTACAGCGAGCGGCAAGTCCCCTTACTTATCACCCTCCAGACACGCGGCCTTTTTTCCATCTTCTTTAACAGACTTGCCTGAACACGCCTTTTCGCATGCTGTTCCCCGTGCCTGGAATGCTCTTCCCGATTTTTCACCTTTCAGCTCGCAGACCTTCCTCGGGAAGCCTTCCCTGACTCCCTCCGTGTCCCCAATCAGGTCTGCGGCCCCCACTTCTAAGAAGTTATATGTTGAATACTCTCCCTTTCTCTTCTTGGACCTTATTACAATTTTTAATGATATATTGATTTATACAGCTGTTGGCTTACTATCTGGAACTCCAGTTAGATGACAGACTACAAAGGTGGGGCAGGGAAATTGTCTCTGTACCCCCCCCCCGCCCCCCTCCCCGCTCTGCACTCCTATTATCTGCCGTAGGTGTACATATAGAATAAAGGTTGTCCTTTTGAGAACACCCGTATTCAAATGCAAAGAAAAATAGAGGTCCCTTGCTGAGCCCCAGGTGGAACCACCCTCCTCCCCTGAGCCTTGACTTCCTTCCTTGAGCTTCAGGACCACCGTCTGTTCCCAGGGGAAGGGACAGCTGGCCTCCTGTTTCCGGAAGACTCCATGTCTTTCCTCCGATCCCTGAGGCAAAAAGCACATGTTGCCCTCCAAACAACTATACTACGCTGGACCCAAAGATCACCAGCTTCACGTAACAGGGGAAAACAAACGAACAAAGAGAAGAATCACAGCTGAAGGAACGGGCATTCACTGGGCCTGAACTTCGTCACACACAATTTCTAGGCTTCCAGGTGGCCCTCTGGGGTTGGGAGGACCGTTTCTGTTTTACAGTTGTGGAAACTGAGGCTTGGAGAGAGGCAGGCCCCTGCAGGGTGGGTGCAGCCGACTCCAGCTGGGTCTCCCCAGGGCCCAGGCCAGCCCTGGGCAGGGATGGGCTTTCTGGGGCGTGTGTTTTTCCCCTGCCAGCCTCAGTTTCTCCTCCAGGGCCCAATTCAGCCCTGGGAGCCCCTCGCGGCTTTCCTTCCTCCTCACCAGGCCCCGCCCTCACTGAGACCTCAGCTTTCTCCATCCCGTCTTCCTCTCCCTCCATCCCTCCCCTCCTCCTGTTTCCGTGGCAACCTCATCCTCCGCTCTGCCACTTGGTCCCGCGCTCCCATCTCGTTCTTTCCTCTTTCATCTCTCCCCTGAGCGCGGGGTAAGGTCCAAATGCCCCTCTGTCCTTTGCCTCTGGTCTCTCACCCCCTTTTTGCCGTGCTTTTACCGCCTTCAGTGTTCTCTTGTCATCTCAGGGCAACGTTTATTTACCTCTTGCTTAAGAAAAAGGAAAAAAGAAAAAGGAAGGAAGACAGGAGGGAAAAGAAACCCCGTTTCGCCAGCAGCCCTGGCCCCTCCATTCAGTCCCAGCGCCATTCTCTTTCTTAGGTAGCCCCCAGACGCAGACACAGACGCAGACACATCCTAGAATGGGCCCCCTGCCTGCCACCACGCAGGCTCCTTTCTGGCCTCACCCGTGGAAGGGAGGAGGCGAAGGCACAACTCAGGGGGGACAGCTGTGAGGGGCCCAGGTGAGGGCTCACTGGGGGCAGGAACTCCAGGGGGCTGGGGGAGACGCCAGAGGCCTGGGGGGGGGCCCCCCCCCGGGGCGGGGGGGGGGGGGGCCGGGGGGGGGGGGCGGGGGGGGCGCGGACCCCGGGGGGGGGGGGGAGCCCCCAGGGCCCCCCCCCCCCCCCCCCCCCCCCCCCCCCAGGATGAAGCAAGGGCAGGACCTGGAGTGCGGGATAAGCCAGGTCCAGAATCCCTCCTCAGTGCAGCCCAGGGACCACCCCGCCCCCCCTGGGCACACGGCAGGGGGGATGCCCAACGTACCAGGCCCTCCCCCTCCAAACAGGATGCTGGATTCATTCATTTGTCAAGATTCACTCTTCACCATAATCTTACATTGCCTCTGAGATAAGGAAGTGTCCACTCTTGTAACCAGGTCTGCCCAGGGAGATGGGCATTTTAATTTTCACTTTACAGATGGGCAAACCGACGCTCGGGAGGGCTGTTACTTGTCCGAATCACACAGCCAGTAAGAGGTAACGGGGGGCTTTGAATGGATTATAATCATGTTTTCCCCCTTTGAACGTCCCTTCTTCCCATGTTCCCAGGAGGGGCAGGTCAGGCGGCCCCCTGGCCCAGCCCCCCTGACCTTCTTTCTACATTTCTGTGTTTAATCTGGAGTGATCAGAAATGACAGGAGAAACAAAGAGATTTGCCACAGAAATGACAAGCAAGCCGATTATCACTGTGGCCCCAGCGTCTCAAAGCGACAGACAGAATAGACGGGCTGGCGGAAAATGGTATTACTCCCCTGTGAGACAAGAGTCACATGGAGAAAAGGGGGTCCTGGGTCTTTGGGAGCCCCGCAGGCTTGTGAGCATCTATGGGAGCTGTGACCAGTTCCTGGGCCAGGGCATTAGTCCTGGTATCGGTCCCCTAAGCCCTGGGACCAAGCTGCGGGAGCAGGTCCCGGCGGCGGCCTACCCTATCGGCTGCAGCTGGCAGGACCTGGTCACAGAGGTGTCAGCGACACAACTCAGCTTCTCCGCCCAGAGCCTGGCTTAGCACCTCAGGAACCCCACGAGCAAGGCCTAAGGAGGAAGACATAGGAAGAGAAGGACAGGTTTCGGCTCTGCAGAGGAACAGAGGTGAGGAACCTGGCTCTCAGTCCGGCAGGTCTGGCTTGCACCCCTGTCTCTGCCACTTATGAGCTGCGCGGCCTGGGGCAATTTCCTTGTGAGCTGGAGTAGGCGTATGGACAGGATCTAGCACGTACCGAGGTTCTTCTTTCAGGTCAGGCTTGTCCCGGATGAGATCGTGTATAGAAAGCCTGGAATCCTGATAACAGAACCCGCTTTGCAGAGGAAACCCGGGCACAGAGAAGTTGAGCCACCTGTGCAAAGTCCCCAGACACGCCCAAGAAAGCTGGAGTTGGGGTTTCCGCTCTTGGGTCTCACTCAAATGCTGGTGCTTTTAAGGTCAAGGAGACCAGGGAGATCGAATTTGACAACACGGCTGGGCACAGGAAGGACTCAGTTTCTAGGAGCTCTCATTCTTATTCTTTCTATCCCCATCCACTCTGTTGGGGCCAGGCCAGTGCCGGGTGCTGGGGGGACCCAAAGATCCCCACTCTCAGGGACCTCCCGGTTTGGTGAGAAAGACACGACGAAGAACTACGAAACAGTAGAGCAAAGCAGCAGACGGGAAATAAGCAGTAACGTGCAGGGCACCACAAAAGGGACGGAGCTACTTTGCTTTTTTTCTCCATTTCCACCTAAGGGGTCAGGAACATTCTTCCTTGTAAGCTGGCCCTTCAGAAGGCGGCCACAGACGCGCAGGGAGTGGACCACAGAGCCGGCCGCATCCCAACACGTTGGTTTGCGTGCGTGCCTATCCCCTCATCTGCGACAACCATCTCCCCGGCAGGTTTAACTGAGCCCACCAGCCCAGTGAGCTTGATCCCTGGTGCTCAGTACACAGAGGTCGGCGGTGGTGGGGGGTAGGGCTGGGGAGGCCCAGAGCCGGGGAAGGCTGAAACGCAGGAGAGCCGAAGAGGGCCCGGCCAGCTGGAGGCCCAGGATGGAGGAGGGGAGAAGAGCAGTGGGCAGAGAAGGTGCGGAGGGGTGAGGATGGGGGAGGAGCGGGGCCTGGGCCCAGAGCCCTCCTCTTCTTTCTCACAGCAACCCGTGTGAGTCGCCCCAGGGACTCCATCCCGGCAGAGCCCCTGGCACGCCTGCCTGCTGATGCCCATGCCGTAATCAACATTTATTTTGCAGTCACCCACACGCCCGACTCGAGAACAGATTTATGCCAGGAGAGGAGGGAAAAAAAAAAATGCCTCTCTCATTCACGTAATGCCTCCCTGTATCTCCTGGGGGGAGGGACAGCTGGTGCAACACTTAGGCTGACAGTGTGCGTGCAGACATCAGGCACACACGCCGTCCACACAGGCTGGAATCAGCGGCAAGCCGGAGCAACTTGCAACTCTATTCTCTCCTTAGTCGCCTTCACGCAGCGAGTTGGGGGACAGGACCCATGCGAGGAGTGGGAGCCCATGTGCATACTTGAGGACTCCGCGGACTGGCCCGGGCGGAGGGGAACACACGCACAGGGCGGGTGGAGGGAACCCACAGTGCAGCTGTGAGATAAGAAGTCAGGCGAGAGACTGGCAGGGAAGGCAGGTCGGGCATCCCAGCCGGGTGCTGCTGGGTCCTTACGGTACCGGGAGCTAACGGGGTGCGCCCCGGGGGGCCTCATCTACGGGCTGGAGGAGAGGTGGGGGGGGGAGTCCTGGAGGACAGGGAGAGCCAGGAGAGGGGCCTGGAGGCCAGGTCCCCAGAGGGGGGCGGTTCCACAGACTCAGAGGAGGTGTCCCAAGCGGCCAGCACAGCCCAAGCGGGACCCGGGTTCCTCTTCAATCCAGATCGCTTCAGAGACCTCATCTGCATAAGGGGGGGCCCCAGGTGCTGCAATTCAAACGCATGTGGGGCCGTGACCCAAGGGCCAGAGTGATTTTAGTGGAGGTGACAATTATAAAACGAGCAAATATCTGCCTTCCCCAGAGGTGCTTGTGGTCCAGGTTGAGGATGACCACTGTCCCTGCCGTTGGGAGTCAGCCTACGGGGGCGGCAGTCAGCCTGGCCACCGCCTGCTTCATCTCCCAGAGCCTCAGTTTGCCCAACTGTAAAATGGGGATGCCAGCTGCCTGTTCCACCGAATGATGGAGAAGATTAAAAAAGAACTGAGTCGGGGCGCCTGGGCGGCTCAGTCGGTTGTGCATCCAACTTCGGCTCAGGTCACGATCTCACGGATCCTGAGTTCAAAGCCCGCTTCTGATCCTCTGTCCCCCTGCTCTCTCTGCCCCTCTCTGCTCATGTTCTCTCTCTCAAAAATGAACAAACATTAAAAAAAATATATATATATATATATATGTATATATATATATATCTGAGTGAAAGTACCTGGCATACGGGGCTGGAATTTGGTAAATGGTGATTTCTTGGTTTCACCAATATATATGTACAAGATATGTACACACACAAGGTGAATCATCTAGGACCCTAAAATATTTGGCATATACTTATTACTACTAAAAATATGCCCTTACCACTCCCATGAATGAGCATGACCACTTGGAAAAAGCAGCTGCGATTCTGAGGAAGAAAAAGTAGCCAAATCAGGTGCACAGGAAGAGAGGCTGGAAATGAACCCGACCTTATGGAAGATTCTAGCTTAGTTGTCAGCCCA